TATTTTTTGTTTAGTGCATTACTGATTCTTTGAGTAATGACAGGATATCAGCAGTTGATCAAGAGCCATACTGCTTGTCACTCAAGAGCTTGTCCCTACTGAGATGATCAGTAATCTTCTTGTTGATTATAGCTTCAAAAAATTTACTCAGGAGGCTGATGGATCAATACTAAGACAAAGATGAGTGCTCACCTGCATTCTTGAAAACAGAACATACACTTGACACATTCAACAGACTTTGGAAGTATTTCTCCTTCATGCAGCAGTTAAATAGCTTTAAATTTAATTTGGGTAAACTCAGAGTTAATATTCTTGAGGACAATCACTGGAATTTTACCTGGACTGGAATCTTTCTCAGGTTCAACACTTTTGATAAGTCTTGAAACTTCCTGGGCTGTGATAAAAATATCACTGAGATTGTTGTTCTGTGAAAGAGGAGAAGTCAGGAAGGTCTTGGCCTTTGTCATCTAAGTTAAAAGGCAAATATCATGACAAAGAGCTTTGCCTTATCTGATGAGGATAGGATAACCTCAGGGCTATTTATGATAGTAGGCACTGGCACTTTGCCTCTATTCAGAATTTTGTTGGAGACCTTCCAGAAATCGTGGGTTCAGATTTGTTTACTTTCAACCTTGGCCTGGACTGCTTGTGCATAGCTACATTTTTCATTTTCTAGAACTTTCTTACAATGATTGCAAGCAGTTTTGAAACTATTAGGAAAAAAAACTAATTAATAACTATATATTAATTAGTTATAATAATATACTAATTAATAATTATATATTAGTTAGTAATAATGTATTAATTAATAATTATATACCACATGAAGAAGTGTTGATGGCTTAATGGTTAATAGCTTGGAAAAATGGAATTGGTGAGCCAAATTCAAATTCTAACTGAAGAATTATATTTGCTTTGAAAAGGCATGAATCATACTCCTCCCTGCCTCCAGCTATGTGTTAAATAGCAGGATTGACTGGTTTCTCTAGTTTTGGTTGGCAACCAGTCTAGGAGAAGGACAAAAATAGGAAACCACTGCACCATCTTTCCCAAGAACAATGATGGTAATGCATAGTTAACAGATATTAAAAAAAAAGAAGAAGGAAGTTAAGGAGAGCTATGATCGCCTGCACCCTAAAGGTTCAACAAATTCCCCTAGATCAGATCTAAAATATATTCTCTTTATTTAAATTTATTTTTTGGTAATGCGTATGAACAGTTTGACACTTAGGTTTTAACCTAATACGGCTTTACTTTCACTTTTCTCTTCTTTCATCTCATTAATTGCTGTTGTTCCCACGTCCACCCTGACCCAGGGTAGTATTAGGGTCCCAGTTATGAGCAAATAGTGACCCTCACCCAACCAAACAAAAATAAACCCTATCAAAGTATAAAAATACATTTTTATCGTAAAAATACTAGCAATACATTTTTATATAAAAAAATTACCAACAATACCTATTTATAGTAAAATTACTAACAATAAATTAATCAACATGAAACAACTATTTCACAATATTAATCCATATAATATCCTAATCCATTAATCCATATAATAGCCTACAATTTCTTAAAGAAATCAAACTGCATTCCAAAATATAACTTCAACAAAACTTACAACATAAAACACACATATCACTGCCTCTATGTTAACACAAAAATGTATATGCACAAAAGCTGAGTATCATCTACCATGTATTCAATTGTGAAAGCAGAATAACATATATCATATTTTTATTACTTCAAAGCTCCCAAGAAAAATTAAATTTTGGTATTAAATGACCCATAAGGAGTTGATATGACATTAAACAAATCAGTAAATAAATATTCTCTAAGGAAAGTTCTTTAACAAAAGTTCTGAACACAAATGCCAGACTTTTGACAATCTGGATGATGTAATGATGGCACAAACCCTAAATCCATCATAAAATTTCAGGATGTGGAATTAGTAAATACTAAATACTTCAGATACCTTGGCGTATGGATCCGCTATAAAAAATTTAATATGGGGGTAAAGGAAACTAAACATAAAAAAAAGCCTACGCCAGAGGTAGTTTCAGTCTCGACTACAAATTGCTGAAAAGCAAAATATCAACCTGAAAACTTGATTAATGTTCTTAAATAGTCTTATCAGATTGAGACTTTCATCTGGATGCCATGCATGATGCCAAACTAACAATACAGAATCACAAACAAAGAACTGTACTATATAAGATAAACTATATCACTTGAGGACTATCAACAGCAGTAACAACTAAAATGGATAGCACATATAACTCAAAGAGGAAATAATAACATAATCAAGATGTTGACGTTTCCACACTAATTAAAAAGTTGGGAAGGAAATCCCTATCAGTACTGAAAACAGCGATAACACCTACTGTAATTGATAAAACTATTTTCCTGAAAAAAATTATTTAAGAGAAAGATTTTATAAATTTCAACCAAAAGCATCATTGGTGGCTCAGTCAATGAATTAAAAATGTTTCCTTGTAGGGAAATGGCTAATACTATCATTACCATTAGCCAAAGTTCTTCTCAAAAGACATTAACATATAAAATCCAACATTTCTTTAAATAAATCTATCATGCTATTGCAAAATAAACTGTTTTATTATCAGGAATTCTTTGCCTTATTTCTAACAGTTTTATGACTCTTCCACACAAGCTTACATCATAAAGACAAAAAGTTAATATCATGTATTAATATAATGTTTATAGTGTTTACGTAGTGTATTTATGTGTTTATATAATGTTGCTGTGTTTATATAATTTGTTTATACTCTCAATGAGGCTCCTTGCTTAGAACATCTACTTATGACTCAAGTGTTCACCCCCACATGTCAAGTGGAACTCATATATAAAATCCATCACTAAAGATGCTGGTAGAATAATTGGTTCCTTGTATCATTGTAGAAAGTACCAAAAAAGACCCACCTGCTATACTCTATCTTTACAAGAGTCTAATCAGACCAAAAACAGAATATTGCTGCCATATCTGAACAAGAGCTATCCAATCCTCACTTTCCAGCCTTGATAGAGTTTAAAGGCATCTATATGGGTTTCTGGAGGATTGATTATTTTCTATCCTATAACTCCTTTTCTACAGATGAAATCACAAGCCTCTTGCTATTCTATTGCTATTTCCATGGTAAATTCTCTGACAAGCTACATTCCTTAGTTAAGATCCACCATTCCATGTACACAAGGGGCGAACTGTCCCCTATCTCCTTTGTATTCTATTCAGACAACTTCTTCCCAAGAACTGCTAATTTTTACAACAGATTCCAAGAGGTTTCCCCAATTGCTACAGTTCAAGTCAACCCTTTTCTTTCTTACATCTGTACTACTTATATTTATACACCAGTCCCTTCAGTAAACCTCTGCCTTGAGTGGCTCTTGGGTCTTGAACAATAGTTAAAAAAGATAATTGAGTATTGTCTAATGTGTTATGATATGCAATATAGATATTTGAAATTAATATCAGGGAAGTATTTAACACTTAGTTTTGTAATGTAAATCATTAACATTTTAGCAAAATTGATTTCTAAATCATGAATAATGATCTCAGGTCCAGGATTCTTCATTGTTGTAAATATTTGTTAATCCAGCATTACTTGTTCGATGAAATTGTTGTGCACTATTTAAATTCCTCATCTTTGTTGTTGTTATCTGGCCTTCCTCAGCTGTATAGTGACCTGAGTAACCGACAGAGAATTCCGAACTGAATCCTTTAATTTAATCTAGACAGTTCTCATTCCACTGCCATATCTATGAATATCTTGTCTAGTTCTTATTTTTAGTACTGCTCAGTTATTACTCACCTGTTTTCCCTAAATCCAAGTATCCAATGCCCAGCCTGAGGAGTGAACTCACAATTATTATGTGACCTAAATTTACAGCCCAATTGTGGAAGCAATAACAAAGATGAAGACAATAGTTTGAATGTAAATAGTTTAAATAAAGACCCCAAGTTGTAAGATCACAATAATCTCCTTAATCATAGCATCAAGCAGTATCTGTACCATGTAATCCAGTACTACCTGACACATGCTATTTAGAGAGGAGGTGGGCATTGGCAAGTAACTCCCTTTATCTGAAAGAACTAAACAATATTTAGTACATTCCTTATACCATCTGACAAATTGACAACTAATTTGTTTTGTATTATCATTGTTAATCTATAATCTTTCTCATTTATGAATTCTGCTATGTGCACAAAATCAGCAAAATGTTCTGTACTGGGCATAAAATCAGCAAAATGTTCTAATCTGAGCATAAAATCAGCAAAATGTTCTGCTCTAGGCATAAAATCAGTAAAATTTAAAGTTCTATTTATTGGCTTTTGTTGAATTCTCGATAGAGAAATTGATTGTGAAAATTTTGTCTTTCTCTATTTTTAGAATGGGGGTAAAATTATTAAAGTTGATAGCTAAACTAGAACTGAAATTGATTATGGCATTTTATTTTTATCGTTTTCATTTATTTTAATTTGGAAACTTTTTTGTAACATTAAACTCTGACCTCTACCAAAATGGAAACAATAAATAAAATTTAATAAAGAAATATTAATTTGAAGAAAATAATTTTTCCTCGGCTTTAAAAGAAAAAACTTACAACTAAATTGTTACAGAAAATCAAATTCTTATGACATTTATGGCAAAAACAAAATCTTCGATGAAATCTGTTTTGTTCTTTCTGTATCAGTCTAGGATTTTTTTTTATTAATTGATGTGTTTTTATGGTTTATCAACCTTTTTCAGGTTAATTGAAAACAACAAATGTCTTTAGATTGTGAGAAATTTTTATTTTTTTGAAACTAATGATTTTCTGATAAAAGTTCTATTTAACCCATAGTAGGGAGAATAAAAGGTGGATTCATAACTTTCTCAAGAGTATTTGTACGTAAGTGAATGTAATAAATCCTGACTGTAATTGGAATTCGTCTCTCTGATTTCTTATTCCAAGCCGTTATCCATTACTTCACCTGCTCACACAAGCTTACAGCACTCGGTATTTCTAAGTAGTCACCCATCTAGGTACTGACCAGGTTTGATGTTGCTTAACTTTGGTGATCAGACAAGAACCGGTGTTTCAGCATGATACACCTCTAAGCTCATCAATCTAGGTTACCTCCCACATTGTTGACAAGAATTGTAAAATGAATAGCTTTGGCGCCAGAGTTCTTTCCATCTTAAAGACATCACCTACACTTTACCATAATGGTTATAGGTTTTTCATGATATCTAAAATGGCTGTCGGGTTGGCATATGTATTTTGGGGGCATCTTGCTATTAAAACAGCTATGTGTCATTTTTTGCCATGGGTAACAGTAGGAAATGCATAAAACAGTCCAGTAAAAATAAATGGTGGGCAGCTTGTTTATTCCAGAGTATGTCTGTTAGCTAGGGTGACTTATTAATCCCTGTTGCAGTTTGTCAACACCCACAGAGCCAACCTATATACTGCAAGTATGCTGAGCAGATTTTTGTTACAGTTTGGGGGAGAAAGTCTACTTTGTGGCATGATCAAGTTTTGAACAAGGTCAGTATACTCAAACCCTCAGTCATGATGGCTTGTGGCTTTGTGCCACATCAACTATTGATGTATTCCACAGAATTCTGTCTAACCAATTTCATTCACAAGGTTTGAGTTAAACTATGGTATGCTTTTCTGGCACTTTACAAAGGTGCCGCACATGGGGATCACCTCCCCAGGCCAATATTATGAAAAACTCTCTGCCAAATCAATCGTGGTGAGATTTGAACCCAGGTCTCATAGTCAGAAAGTTAAACATATTATTTTTATGTTTGATGACTACAGTAGTTGTATATCTACCTTAGCAATTTTCTGCCTTCAGCAGGTGAAACATATCATCTCTCATATACACAGGTTGGCAAATGAACCCAGATGCCATATTTATTCCCTCCCCTAGTGCCAGACTAAATAATAAAATCTATACATTTCATATAATGCATGTTTGCATTATAAGTTTTGTATAGTAAAGCAACTTTTATGGTTTTAAAACTGTCAGCCTCAATCTTCTTACTCACATATTTTTTTATGTCTTCATTTGTTTTATTGTTTACAAGCTTGGCTTTCATACTTGATGCCTTAAACAATTTGATGACCAAAGCTGTCATGATCAGACATCATTTTTATTTGTAGTTTTTTTCTTGCACTCTCTTTTACTTCTAATTTCATTCCAAGCTGGATTATTGATTTTTTTATCAAGTGTAGTTGTAATTCTTTGGAGTTATTTTTATTTTTTTATTTTTTTTAGATTCTGAGATAAAATCTTTTCATTATTTAAAATCACTATTTTCCTTATTATAAAAATGCAAACTCATATGCATAATGGAAGATTTGATTTGATAGAATAGAATTTTTTAGAATCTTGTTTGGATTATTTTTTATAATATTGTTATCAGTTTGCAGACAGTGTTAAAAAGCTTACATTTAAAATTAAAGTAAAATTTTTAAAACACCATTTCTTTCTATGTGCCTTGTCCCTTCAGGACATGGGTGTTTATGGCTCTTTTTGTCTTTTCGGTATCCTTGATAATTTTTGCTATCCCTACATTTACACAAACTCATTAGAGGACGTTATTTGCTATTTACTTCTGTTCCTTCTGCCTTCAACATGTCCTGTGTGTGTCAAATTCTCCAAACCCTCTTTCTTCATTGCGTGCCTTAGAAATTTCAGTTGTCTCTTTCTGCTTCTATTCCCGGTAAAACTTCTTTCACCTTCTTCTATATGTCGTGTCTTTTCAGTACATGGACGATCATGGCCCTCCACAAAATCCTGTCTTTAGTTACTCTTTGTAAATATTGTCTTTTTTCCTATCTCTCATAATCTGTGTTCTGTCAACAAGCTTGCTAGGTAAGTTATTAACTGCTTTCATCCATCTCTCTTTCCTAAAGTGGGCAAAATAAAATCATCATTCTTTAATTTTTTCTTAAGGTGAAATGAAATTGTAGTATTGTGGTGAATGCATGTCAATACAGATACAAAAGAGGCTGCAGATTGCATGCAGACATTTTTGCCAAAACTAGTTACATATGTGTTTTTACTGTCAACAGCAGGACAGTTTGGTATGTCTAGATCCAGGCCTCTTTGCAACTGGTCAAGATCTGGGTTTTGTAGGATGTCTCAGGCTAATAAAAATAGGGGAAAACTAGCAGTTAACAAGACACGGTGTCTTGTGAAATCGGTCCTATGGGCATTTTTGTTCCTCAAGTTGCTGTGGTTTCCAGGCAGTATTATTTTTGTTACCCACCCTCTGGTATCTTTCCCCCCTCATCTCTGCCTATTACTCTGCTCTTACTGTAGTTATTGGAAGAGTAATCAGTTAGGTATTTTCCCCACCACCACCCTCAATAAACTCTTGCTTTACCTTACAAGTATATTTTCTTTTGTTCAGATGATAGTTCAACTCTTAGTTAAAACAACAAATATTTCTTTTCTCTTCTTTTAGTTTACCTCTGCACTTATTCTTTGTAAGGAAAAAGATGTTTTCTCTCTTCCATCAGTCAAGCCAATAGTTCTACAGTAGATTATGGAAGTACACCAACACACACACAGCCACACCCAGAGATATTTCCTATCAACTACAGATTATTTTTTACTAGAAATAAATTCTTTACTTTGTTGATTGCTTTTTGCTTCTCATTGCACAACCAAAAAATTGCCTTTTTTTTTTCTAATGTATAATTTTTCATTGAGTTGACTATAGGGAGAAAAAATTTACATGGATATCAGATTTGCATATTTTTCTTGTACAAATGAAAGAGTGAATTCTCAAATATACAACAGTGTGCTGAAAAGAATTTGAAAAGAAAATACTAAAGAAACTAGATAAATGGAGTGCAAAGGGTGCTTAACTGTAGGTGAATAAATTGAATAGCATTTATGTTGCAAGTCTTCTTTGGGGGGTTGGTGTCATGCCCTTCTTGGTCAGGCTGAAAATGTTTATGATATAATACTTTCTTACATTAATAAACTTACAAGATAAACACTTTAAGAGATTTACTAAAGATATAAACTAAATATGGAACATAGAAGCAGAGTTGGTGCAAATGCCTCGTGCCCCCACATCAATCTATGATATTGTCCCCCTAAGCACTACTACATCTCAATTTTCATGATGTAGTATTCATATCAAATACAAATTTTATTGTAACTTAATTATTTGCAATAATGGATCATATGCAATATAAGTGAACTTGAAAACTGAAAGTAAATACAATGTATCTAAATGCAAATTAGAGACATGTCATAATAAGTTTTTCCATCTTAAATAAATCAATAATGTTTTGCAGCAACTTTTAACATCATCTTAGGAGTTTTCTTGTTAAAAAGTTCAATAATTTTAACACATTCAATATTATGAATAAAAAATAATGAATTTTGTATAGTGTTTTTTTGCATGAACAAAACAAATTTACAAATTTGGATGAAAAAAAAAATGAAGTCAAAATCCACGAAAACATTTTGTCCTTTAAAAGTCAGTTGTGTTTAGTTTAATTTGTAACGTATATAAATGTAGGTAGAAAGAAAGCAAATGTTTATAAGATAGCAAGGGTCACAAAGCATTGCCTGGGCCCCTAATCAAACTTTTGATCCTTAGTTTGGTAGGTAATATGTACTGACCCTGCATTTTATTGAATGCCTCTCTATGAATTTTTTAAACCAAAAATAATTTCAATAAAATAAATTTTACTGCAAGAATTAAAATGAAAATCATAAATCCTATAATTTTATTTGTATATGACCAATTGTCTATGGTTCACATTTTATTTTTTCTATCTTGCATCTTTATTTGTGAAGTGTTGATTATATTGAAAATCAAGCAACATATGACTTCAGTCACATTTTATTTGAAGCAGTTCACATATTTCCCTCTGAATGCACTAAAAATTCCAACTTGTTCCTTGCAGGTATTTGGCGACAACTCAATTTGAAGCCTCAGGAGCACGGAAAGCTTTTCCCTGTTTTGATGAACCACAGATGAAAGCCAATTTTAGTCTTTCAATGGTGAGAGAGGAGCGGCATATCACACTGTTTAATATGCCCTTGAAGTCCACTTCAGCCTACATGCACGGGCTGACTCTGGATTCATTTGACACAACTCTGAAAATGAGCACCTATCTTGTGGCCTTTGTGGTGTCAGATTTTGTTAATCAAACAAAGTATTCTGCAAATGGAATTCAGGTATTTACATATTTTGCATTTCCTTTCCAATTTTTGAACTGTCATTTGATAATGACATTGTCAATTTCTTTACTGTTGTTGTTGATCTTGTTAGTCCTTTAAGCATCATAAGTACTTAATTCCTTAATTTTCTTTGTTTACCATTTGATGCCAGCAACAGAGTAGCTTTTTGTTTTATTAGGATTCAGAAGGAGACATGGTGGAGTAATGGATAACAGCACAGATTGAAGAATTGGAGAGCCATGTTTGAATTACTTTTGAATCCATTATATTCACTTATGTTCTAATACTCTTAAAAAAGATATGAATACTCTTCTTCTTACCCCCAGCTATGGATAAATAGCAGGACAGTCTGGGTTCTATAGCCTTGGATGGCAACTGGTTTACCGCAAAAAGAAGTGGCAACCTACTGTGGGTAAAAAATCTGCCTTGTCAGTCATGTATTGAAAAACATTTACACGGAAATATGATTTGGGAAAATTTTAATAGATATTTAGCACGGGGCTTAAAAAGCAAATTTACCGAAATAAGTGCTTATTGTTACTGCTTATATTTCAGTTTATTATATTTGGCCTTCAGATGGGACAGGAAAGATATAAATACACATCAATAATTATTATTATTATATGTCTTGATTCTACCTGTTGATATCTCTGAGATGAGGTATTATAATTATTTACATTATCTACATTATTCAGACTGTTATCCTCATCTTCATTGCTATATCCACAACTGCCTTCTTTAGGTGATTGGAATTTCGAACTGAAACATATATTTTGTCCACTGGGGTAGATTGCTCTCAAGGACACATAACCCAGTCGTTAAAGGCATTGGTTAGATCCAGTGACTAGACCCAAAGAGTTCAATACCAGGCTACAGCAGTGCTGAACCAAAAAATTTGATAGCTGAGTTAAAGGGAAATAACTGAGACATCCAGAAAAGGCATGGCATGTGGAACTAGAACAATCTACTCCGGTGGATGAAATAAAGTGTTTGTTTTGAAATTCCAGTCACATGAACAAGGCCGGAGCATACAATGGCGAAAATATTGTGAATATGGCAATGAAGATGACGATAACAGTCTGAATAATGTAAGTAGTCTTGATTCTGTAAAAAATATTAGGGACAAAATTTATTTAAAAATTACTCTGTGTATGTTTCAAGACCATTGCTTATATTGATGACACTATTGTGAAACTAATTCCATAAGTTAAGATCATATTAAAGAAACATCAATAGACAAGGAAACATACTTAATCAAAATAAGTACCGTATATATTGTGTATAAGATATTTACATGTTTTGTATGACATTGAATTTTTTTAATTAATTTAACCACTCCACAAAAAAAAATTTACTTGTGTATTGTGTTAAGCGAGTTACTTAAAATGCAGAATTATTAACCTCTTCAAAAAATATTACCTGTTTATAGTGTGAGCCCCTATATTTTACATAAAAACAAACAGATCATAAAAACTCACACTATACTCAAGTATGGATGGTACATTGGGTTAAGATGTTTCTCTTTAAGAAAATGGTAATAATAATTATAAAAAGTGTACATTTTCATTTGGTATTCATTGACTGTTAAATACAATTTATTAAATAGTTTTTCAAGAAATTAGACTTGTAGGTCTTTCTAATATTGTTATACCGTACATGTAGACTATAATGGGTATGTCCTAATCCTTATAAATAGAGTGTAATATAATGTATGTTGCATCCCTTGGGTTTCACCTTGATTCACTTCTAGCTCACCACTTAGTAGTTGATTACTTACTAAACACCATTGGCAAATCTTGTATCTTCTTCTTGTTATAAATATTATTGTTCCATTTTCAATCTTCATTTTGGTTATTCTTATTCAGTAACCTTTTCTTAGGTTACAACAAATATTGATGTGAGTTTCCTTCCAATCTTTTTATTCTTGGTCATGTAGAAAGTTAAGTTTGATTATATCATCATTTTCTCTTCTAGTTAGATGTGCTACTTTATTTTTTCTGCTGTTGCATATGTTCAAATGATGTGGTTTTTGTTATTTGTTAAAGTTCTTCATTTGTAATTTGGTAGCACTAATCTCTAGGGCTGAATGAAAGACTGTTTTCCTTCATATTTATAGGATTTATTTGCTTGAAGACATTTAACCATTGATCTGAGAAAATGGTTGTATACAGATGATAGTTTTGATATTTCTGAACAAGTTGGATGCTATATATGACATCCACATGAGAGCCTAACAAGGCTATTTGAGAATATGACTTAAGCTTTCAAATTAATGTTTTGGTTTCTTAAAATTTTATGTTGCTGGACAAAAATATACCTAGTGCACCCTAACCTGCATTCAACTTCCTATCTCATATACTAAATTTGTTATAAGTGCTCCAGGTCCAGAAGACATTTAAAATGTTTAAAATTTATCAATTTGACAATCTGAATTTTTATGATGGTTTATGGGTAGGTGTCACCACTACTCTCAATCCAGTAAGCAATCATGATTTCTGTTTTGGAAATGTTTATCAGAAGTTCTAATCTTTGGAACACTGTTATTCATTCCTATATCAACTATGAACATCTATGTCATCAGCATATGTCCATCTCATTATCAGTATAATGTCCTCTAGAGGGTAAAGGTTTTTAACTGTAGATTGGTTTGGGTTGAGGTAAGGTATCTTCAAATGTTTTAGACTTGTTTCTTCACATCTATGTTTATAAATGTGCAAAGCTTTATTTGAAAGAAGATTAAACTAATTGGGACTGTCATTTCATCCTTTTTGGGTTTTGGGCTTTCACCAGACATATACAATTTTGGCAGTTGATATATCTCCTCTTTCAGATTAAAGCAATCAGGGATTGGAAGATAGTTTTTGATGAATGAGAAAAGGATGTCTCTGTTGATGTGATCATATCCCGCTATTAGATCAACTTAGCAGGTGTACAATATTCTATTTAAGAAAATTTGTTTTGTTTATATATATGCTATCATTGGAATCCTTGTCAGAACCAAAACTAAAATGGGTTGACTTTCATAGAATTGTAATAGCCTGCTTAGTAAAATATTCATCATTATTTTTCACCATAATGGAAACAATTGACATTTCTTTTTACATGAAAGAATCTTCAAGACTTCTATGTACCATATCACTTCAGGATGTAGGCAATCATGGCTTTCCACAATTTCCTGTCCTTTGTAGCTCTTAATAAATTTTGTCTTTTTGTTATCTCCCCTAAATCTTGTTCCCCCCATCCATTTACTCAAGTTCATTCTACTTCTTCTTCTATGTTCCATGTCCCTTCAGGATGTAAACGATCATGGCTCTCCACAATTTCCTGTCTTTTGCATATCTTAATAAATTTTGTCTTTTTGTTATCTCCCTTAAATCTTGTTCCCCCCATCCATTTACTCAAGCTCATTCTTCTTCTTCTTCTTCTTCTTCTTCTTCTTCTATGTTCCGTGTCCCCTCAGGATGTAGGCAATCATGGCTCTCCACAATTTCCTGTCCTTTGTAGCCCTTAATAAATTTTGTCTTTTTATTTATTATCTCTCCTAAATTCTGTTCTGACATCTATTTACTCATGCTTGGTTATACATTGTTTTCCTTTATTTCTCTTGCCTTCAATATATCATGTGAGTATTAACTTTTCCAAGCCTATTTTCCTCCTTATGAGCTCTAAAAATTGCCTCCATGTACTTTCTTACAGGCAGGATGTAGCAAGTCTCTTGCTTCTCTATCACTACTTCCATGAAAAGTGCTTGGACGAACTACATTCCTGGGTTTGGTCAGTCCTAAGCTTCCCGGTTAGGACCCCCCACCATGCCACTTACATTATAGTATACCACCCACATTCCCTCCATATTTCATCAGAGAGAAGTAAGTTTCACTTGAACAGCTTCTTCTTGCGAACTGCTGCTCTGTGGAACCAACTGCCAAGAAGATATTTCTCCAATCATTACAACCTTAACCTGTTCAAATCTAGTGTTAACTATTATCTTCCTCTCCTATTCATATGAACTGCCCCTTAACGTAACCCTCTACCTTGAGTGGCCCCCAGGCTTTGTGTAGGATGAATCTTACTGTAAAAAAAACCTTTTTCTTATCTTAAGTATAAATGTCTTTTTTGTTTCCATTTTTTCTAAAACTTTGTCATTGCTCAGATTTTTGATCTATAGTATTCTCAGTATCTTTCTGCAGAATCACATTTCTGTTGCTTCAAGCCTCTTCTTCATCTTTGAGAAGATTGTCCAACCTTCAATGCCATATAGGAGGATTGATATTACATAACAGTTCAGTACTCTTTTCTTTATTTCTCTTGCTTCAAGTCTCTTCTTTATCTGTGAGGAGATTGTCTAGTATTCACTGCCATATAGAATGACTGATATTATGTATCAGTTCAGTAATCTTTTCTTTGTTTCTGTTGCTTCATGTCTCTTCTTCATCTTTGAGGAGATTGTCCAGCATTCAATGCCATATAGGAAGACTGATATTACATAACAGTTCAGTACTCTTTTCTTTGTTTCTAATGATATTGTCCTGTTTCTTAGTATTTCACTTAGCTGTCGGAAGGCATCTTCCTCTATTCCAATGCATGTTTGGATTTTAGTGTGTGCAGTTCCCTCCTCTGTTAAAACACTCCCCAGATATTGTTTTACTTGTTTGATTTTGGTATCTCCAATTGTTGGAGTTCTTGTAGTTGTGGCTGTCAATAATAAATCCTGGTAGGACTCCTAATTCTCTCAGAGTCACCTTACTGTTAGGCTGAATAAGTCTGGTGAGAAGACAAATCCTTGTCTTAAAGCCCTTTCTGTTTTTGTATATTTGCTGGATTCATTTTCTCTTATTATGCTGGCAGTTTGCTGCTAGTATATGTTCTAGATATTACTCAACTGTATTGGAAGTTATTAACTGAGCCAATTGGTGAGTGGTTTATATAACAGACTGGGTCATCCATTCTGCTACTTGGGCAAGCCTATTCTCTAGGTCAATTTACTGCTGACTTTGGTG